TCCTGTGAGTTATCAAAAGGAATGCAATATTATGGGGAGAGCAATGGAAAAAAAGAGTGGAAGAGAAATTAAGACAGGAGAGGGAGGTGCAAAAATAAGGCAAAGAGAAGATGGTGCCGTTTTCATCTCACCTCTCGTTCTTATCTTCCTCTTCTCTGGTTCTTTTCCCTGTGAAATAAAAAAAACAAAAGGAAGGACAATGAACATATAAAGGAACCCGTTTTCGTTTTCCGTTTGGGCACAAGGAAAAAAAACAGAGGCGATAGGGCGAGAGGAGGGGTTTGCTGAAGCATGGGGAGGGTGTACGGGCAAGGGGCCAACTCCGCCCACTTCCCCCATCCATTGAAAGAGGAAAAGGAACAGGGCCTCCATGCCCCTCTTATTCTTCCTTTCTTGCGTTTTTGTCGTTTAGAAGGGAACAGGAGAAGAGGAGGGAGAGAGAAGGAGAGAGGAGACATAAAAAGGGTTGCATTTTTAAGGGGAAGAGCAAAGAAAAGACCAGAAGAGAGATGATGGGAGAAGAGGGGGAGACAAAACAAGGCGCACAGAAAATGGGCAGATAAGAAGAGAGGAAAGGGAATGACCAAGTACAATGAGGAGTTCTTCAACTTCCCTCCCTATCTCTTATGTTACTTTTCCTTCTTGTGGGGTGTCCCTTTTTCTCTTGAAGATGCAGAAAACGATTGAAAAGGACACCCGTTCCATCGCCCATATGTAGGGAAAAAGAGAGAGAATCATGAGCATCAGCTGGGCTTGCTGCCAATCCAACATGGGCGTCCCTTTTAATCGCATTCTGTGTCCTTTTTTCTCGCTTGAAGATGCAGAAAACGATCCAAAAGCACATCTGGTGGAGGAAGAGAGAAGGAGAGAGGAGAGATACCAAGGATTGCATATTTAATGGGAAGAGCAAGGAAGAGAATAGAAGACAGATGAATAGAGAAGATGGCGCTCTTCTTTATCTATTCTCTCTCCCTTGTTTCTCCCTTCCCTCTTTCTTTTCGAAATGAGAAAAACAAAATGGAAGAACTATGAGAAGGAGAAGAGTAAGGAAAGGAACAGAAGAGATAGGCCGAGAGGATGAAGATGATGGAGTATTATGGAAAGGCTCACGCGCAAGGAGTCACCCTCTGCTTACCTTTCCACTGCTTTATCATATGAGTTCCTTTCTTGTGTTTTATCAGTTAAAAGGAAGCGGAAGAAGAGAAGGGAAAGGGAAGTGAGAGAGGAAAGATAACAAGGATGCTATGTTTCCCGAAGCGTGCTGCAAGGACTAGAAGAGACAGGAAGCAAGGAGACGGAATCACAAAATAAGGCGCAAAGCTGTACATATCATCTCTCCCTTGTCTCTCCCTATTCCCTTTCGAACTAGAAAAACCATTCTTGCTTTTCACAGATAGGTTCCCTCTCTCCTCTTCAGGAAATCCCCTTTCCCTTATGTTGCTTTTTGAAGCGAATAAGAAAAATAGCAGATAAGAAGAGAGGAAAGGGTCAATTTCCCTCCCTATCTCTTATGTTGTTTTTCCTTCTTGTGGGGTGTCCCTGTTTCTCTTGAAGATGCAGAAAACGATTGAAAAGGACACCCGTTCCATCGCCCATGTGTAGGGAAAGAGAGAGAATCATGAGCATCAGCTGGGCTTGCTGCCAATCCAACATGGGCGTCCCTTTTAATCGCAGGCTGTGTCCTTTTTTCTCGCTTGAAGATGCAGAAAACGATCCAAAAGCACATCTGTTGGAGGAAGAGAGAAGGAGAGAGGAGAGATACCAAGGATTGCATATTTAATGGGAAGAGCAAGGAAGAGAATAGAAGACAGATGAATAGAGAAGAGGGAGAGAAAAAACAAGGCGCAGAGAAGATGGCACTCTTCTTTATCTATTCTCTCTCCCTTGTTTCTCCCTTCCCTCTTTCTTTTCGAAATG